GTTGTACCTCTCCCCTAGTATGTATGATGCATGCATATTCTTAGCCCCCAATTGCATAACCTTACATGTTGTGAATGTACATATTACAATGTAATACAGTGTGTGAATGGAACCATAAGGATACATTGTCTGCATTTAGCTGCGGTAAATAAGTTCCTCTAACCGCAACTAAAAGCTGAAATCTAGCCGCCCGTGTGAAAGGGGCCTAAGGTATGGGCAGCACTGCTAGAGGGATCAGCACAAATGCTGTAAAAGTAATGCACAGCCATTTAAATGTATGCAACAGTTCTGTGGTGCTGAATGTCATATATTTACTAGCTCAGTTGTAATGCACAGATTTATTTCAGAACACAAGTTCTTGTTCAAAGAAGATGTCTGGCCTCCATTACTGATGGTGGGGAACAAGTGTGTTACAGCTAAAATGTATTCTTGATATATCTGAAGAACTGAGGAGCAAACAGTGAGCATTACAGTTAACCTTCAAGTGAACTGAGAAAAAAAGGAGAAGCAGCCAGCTGGCAGAAGAAGCATTGGAGGTGGCTGTTGATGGAGGTTCTGGTAGTGAGGGGTAGCTTAATGCTACATACACCTCATTTAGTGGTCGAGACTTCATGTTGGAGTCTGCTACAATACAGAACTTTCCTAGAGATGGAGTCTGTAAGTCATCATGTGTAAGACCTTGCAAAGTGCCTATGGGCAGAATACAATTAAAGGTGCAGATGATGAGTCAAGACAAGTTGATGAAGTTGAGTACTTTTTGCTACTTTCTCAAAATGTCATTTGAGTCATAAGTCAGGACAAGTAGGAATAGATCAAGTTGCTAACTGAAGATAAGAGTCCTTCCAAAATTGAATGTGGGGTTGTGAAGTGTAATGTGGCCTCTGACCTGAGGGTGACACCAACCCACTCTGAAGCTGGTCACTGGTGAATGGTTATGACTTGTAGCACTCCCTAGATGCCATAGGGGGTGACCTGCTAACAATCGGGTATTTTCTGTAATTGCTGAAAATGTTCTTAGCTTGAAAGAAAAAAGAAAACTAATGCAGCCACCGCATCTAAGTGTTGTAAACTATAATATACTACATTTTTACTTTGGGTTTAAATATCCTTTAAGACATTTAACAGGTAAAAGCAGTCTCTCATCAAGAAAACAGGATATGCAGAAGTTCACTGATTAGATACAGCAACATGTTTCTGCCAAGTCTCTCAGTGTCCAGATGTAATGCTAAATTAATTATTGGAACTTTTAAAAAGTATTGCCTGTGTTCAGGATAAGAGCTCCTCACTCTCAGACAACCTATGCTAAGGTCAGAGCCCTAGCACAGCTCTAGCCGGGGTATAATGTTAGTTTTGGACAGAGAAGGTAAGGGATCATTTTAGAACTTGTTACAGATTTTGTTGTTCTTTCTGTAGCCATAGGGGAGGTTTTCCTTTACTGCCTTTGCCTTCAGAACTCACTTTACTGGATGCTTGGTTACCTGAAGAGGAAGTGAGGGGGAAATTTTAACAGGGACACAGATGGCAATAATATTTGAAAGTGGTTATAAACCTTTCCCTTGCAATCCAAAAGTAGAAAATATGTTTTGGCTGTAGTTGGTCTTTGAAGACAAACACTGTTGATACTCCAGTTACTTGGCAATGGCAGTATGAATATAAATTGTAATGTGATTTCCACATTGTTCTGTTTGCTGTTACTGTGATCGTGCTTGAAATATGACAGATTAACACAGAAAGTAAACTTCTAACTAAATGTATCTTGGCTCTAGGATAGACCGTAGTTTTGGAGCTATGAGGCATAAAAATTATACTTCTGTATTGTTAAAATGTCACTATGGCATAGCAAAAGAAAACACATTGACAGAAAACATATTTTTGTCACACTGTTAACAGCTAGTTTCATTTCACAGTGTTATGTAGTGCTGCTTCCGTAGGAGCCGCAGGAATACTGTCTTCCCAAAGGGTCTTCCCCAAAAGATTTGCCCCTCAGCCAGGCACATAGGCTCATTCACACATTCCTTCAATGACCAGTCTAGGGGTGTTGTCTTTGTTGCTTTTATTTTTGGAGGACTTGGATAGGGATGGGGAATTAACTGGGATACTCCAAAAACAAGAACTATGTACACTTGAGGATAAGCTATGAGGAAGTCCATGCTTGAAGCAAACAGTAGACCTTGAAGTAGGAGATTAAATGGACAAAGCTTTTCGGAATACCAGCCAGTGTCCCCCCTGTAGCCTGGACCCGCAGCTGACTTCCTAGCACCAGAGGGGCGGTTGAGTAATATGTCTTTAAGATCCTTTAGCGGTGACTGTACTCACAAGGCCCAAAAGCAGCTGGTTGCCTTCCTCTGTGATATCACAACAGATCTTCAGTAGACGGCCCCTCAGTCAGCTTTAGTAGAACTTGTGTTTCAGCATACAGGCCCTCAGGTTGCCCTTATGAGGCCACACGGCAGTAGTTGCTTGGGAGGGCACAGTCTGGAACAATTCTAAATCCTATGCAGGAAAGACCCAGGGCCCAGTGTGCTCACTGAATACTGTATATACAGTTACCCAACATGCCATCAGAGCCAGTCTCTCTGGGATAGGCTGGGGCTGTATCAATATCCATGCTACCATCTGCATAGATCCACACCTATTATCCAGAAACTTCTCAAGCTTTCTGGATGCGGAGGGAACTATCAGGTTGGAAGCAGCTGAGCAAACTGGGCATACCTAACTAGCAGAATACAGCTTCATTGATTACAGTGTGCAGGTTATGCTTTTACCTAGCAACAATTACATCAACACTGTCTACAGTGGGGCAACTAAATGTACCTGTCAAAATACAAACTAAATATAACCTAGCGCCTTTCTCAATCTTTTTACCATGATGGTATCCTTGAAATATTCTTCTAGTGTCTATAAAGCTTTGCTAATTTATATCTACAGCTCATGGTACATTAGTATGGCCATTGCCATCAATAAGGGGGTATCACAGGTCCTCCTGTATAGGGGCCCAGGCAGCAGGGAAAATCGGATGTGGGCAGGGAGGGTGATTGGCGCAGTGTGTGTGTGTGCGTGCGTGTGTGTGTGTGTGTGTGTGGTGGGGGGGGGGGGTTACTGGAACCCATCCCCTGTATGGCTCTTTCTGCAGCAGCTGAAAGCTGGCTTCTCCTCCTCTCCCACCTGCTAGCAGCTGCAGGTACAGAGGGGGAGGGGATGTTTCAGAATGGAGAGCAGAGTGGGGCATGTAAATATGTCAAATTTACTGGTCCCTTTCTGTCCTGAATGAACACATTGAGTGATCAAAACTGACCATTCACTGTGCTCATTTATAACTGAAAGTGCAGTAAACTGTGTTTACTATGCATCAGCTTGTGAATGAACAGGAGCCTCTATACAGAGCGCTTTATGTTCATTCATTGTCCAGTGCAGCTAAGGTTGCACAGAAAGGGACTGAGAAATTATATCCTCAGTCCCTTTCTCTGTCTCATAACTAAGACATCAGGGGTCTGTTTAAACTCCTGATATTTCACCAAAGACCCTCCCCCCTCCAACAGTGTTGTGAATAAATATTTAAAAAAATGTAAATTGTTAAAAAATAATAACAAAAATTTGGTTCATAAATAACAAGTTCTCTGACCCATACAGTGTGAATGAGTGGTTTGATTGTGTGGCTGGAGCTACCTGTTACTCTATCAGGATGCAGCAGTAGTACAAACACAGTCACAGGTCCTAATGTGACAGGTGTGTAGGTGTGATACACCCTGTCTGTGTTAGGGGCTGTATACCTGCACGCCTGTTAAATTAGGATCTAGGGCTGTGTTTGTATAGCAACTGCATCTCTATAGCATAACATAGGCTGCCTACATACAGCTCTAGTCACATTAAAAAAAGAAAACACAGATTCACATTGTACAGGCTACAGAGCCAATGTAAAGTCCCAAGTCCTCATTCACACACAGAGCTTTAATAACTGAATCCATTCTTTATTATTTATTTATTTCAGGTACTTATATAGCGCCATCAATTTACACAGCACTTTTATACATATATATTGTACATTCACATCAGTCCCTAACCCTCAAGAGGCATACAATCTAAGGTCCCTAACTTACATTCATACATACACATACTAGTGCCAAATTAGACAGGATCCAATTAACCTACCAGCATGTCTTTGGAGTGTGGGAGGAAACCGGAGTACCCGGAGGAAACCCACAGAGGCACAGGGAGAACATGCAAACTCCAGGCAGGTTGTGCCGTGGCTGGGATTCGAACCAACAACCCTAGTACTGCCAGGTGGAAGTGTTAACCATTTAGCCACTGTGCTGCCCATAGATTTAGCAGGAATTTGTAAGTTATGTTGTGTTTGTGTCCACTATTAATGATTTTAATGTATTTTTATCAAAAATATTGTTTTGATATGGTGGGGGGGGGGGGGGACTGTAAGGTAAGGTGTACATGGGCCTCGTGATTTCATTGTCAGCCAGCTGCCTCCTCTCAGGTTTGCCATCTGACTGGTAAAAGTGGGAATTATTGCCACTGTTATTAATAGAAAAAGTATGATAAGGCCAGTATTTTAACCCAGAAGTGGTGGCAACCCTACCCCTTAGTCACTTTGAGACATGATAACTTCAAAGGATGGATGCCTTATAAATTAATAGTGATAATATAGAATACTATACTTTTTGGTGTAGTGCTCCATGTTACTGAAAACCCCTATCACTTGGGAATTCTTTGGTAAAATCATTTTGGGTGATGCCTTCTTGAAAGTATTCCATTCTAGTTTATATGTTAGGAGACACACAAAGAACAGACACAGCAATAAAGACCTAGCAAAGGTTCTTGCCTTTCTGTACTTGAGTTAAAGGTAAATATGCAAATTATAGGCATTTTGGTATATTTGTATATATCCTCTCTTCTATAATTTAGCTTCAAAATACTAGAACTACAATGTATACAAGCTGCAAGCAGCTGACCTTTTATAGTGCAAGGTGCTGAAGGACACATGTCATTACCTTTGGTGTTGCAATATGTAGGTGCATTCCAAATTTTGCAGCACTCATCATGATGGAGTTCACAATATTGTTTCCATCACCAATCCAGGATATGGTCAGTCCTTTCAGATGGCCATAGTGTTCCTGGGTAGAAAATGAATAACATGAGCAGGTGGTGTAACAAAAAAAACTCCTATATTAGTACAATTAATTGTGCAGGGCAGATTTCTATCATTGGAGGCTGTGGGAAAACAACTTTTGGCTCAGTAAGTAATACTTATCTTCTAATGTCACTTCTTTTACAAAGAACATTTCCTGGTCCTGATCTGGCATACAATGTTGTGATAACATGTAGATAAGTATGTATGATATTGTCGTGACTATTGCACCAGAGATAGGCTTGTCCACTCCCCATTACCACCATGACCGTTCCGTACAAACCCCCTTTCCCCTTAACCCATTATACTTACAAAACACATGACACCAATTTTTGGAGTAAATGTCCAACATGGCCTTTTATTAACAACACAAATTTAAATACACCAACCATTCCTTATAAAAGAAACCCAAAGAATTGTTGTTGGTCTTCGAAGGCACCCCCAAACAATCCGAAATGCACCTGTGGACAACCATATACACTAGGCCTCCAGCCGCAACCAACCAGCTCGGAGACAACCATACCGTCCGCAGTGCAGCCCCACCACCTTCCAGTTAAACCTTGGTTAACTGGGAATGTCCTATACCACCGATGGGTCCCACACCATTGTTTTTACCTTCCAAGATAAGAAACCGCCTCCAAAGACCAACAACCGCCACAGCACGCTGGGTAAGCCCTTACCCACGCGTGCCACGCCACAAACAAACAGCCCGCTGTATGCCATCCTGCAGCTCCAGGGACCATAAATCAGTCCCAACCGCATTCAAATGCCCCCCCATCACTCCGAAGATACCGGCAAGTATCCACCTCCAACTCCAAGTACCGGACTACCAACCCCCCATTGTGACTAAAGAAACGCCCCACCTCCTTGTTGACCTTGATCCGAGCTTTGTTGACCCGCTCCACCGACCGCGCCCAACGCCAAGAGGTGCGGGTGACAATGTCGGACCACACCACCACCATCCCCGGATAATCCCTTCGCAACGGAAGAAAGTCCAGCTTGACATCGCGCACCAGCTCCCGCATCGACCTAACCCCTAAATCATTCCCACCACATGAAGCACAAGAACATCCGGTGGCCTATCAAGCCTAGCAAAACGCTGCACCTCGGGCACTACATGACCCCACAACATGCCCGGCACACCTATCCAGCGGACACAGGCCTCCTGTCTAGCTAACCCCAGCTGCCGGCCATTGGGCCGCATATCAGCCCGCCGGGCCCCTCAAAACACATAAGAGTGACCCAGGATCCATACCAGGCACAGAAAGAAAGGAAAAGCAATACAACCAGAACAATAGATCACAGAGACAGGACCGAACTACCCCCCAAAACCCAGGGACCAACAGACCAGGCCTCCCACTATTCCCTCAACAGATGCGGACGAATGTACAGGTGAAATCTCTGGGAATCCCACCTACCAATTCGTTTTACCACCTCATCAGACAACCCCCACCTGGCAGCTTCTGTAGCAGCCCCTATCTGAAACGAATGCAAAGCATACAAAGACGCATCCAAACCAGCAGCTGTCAAACACCATTGAAAAACTGACACAAATTGAAAGCGCGTTAACGGGGACCCATCAACGTGCCGGAAAAAGGACCCCTGCCCCACTGGACGAGGGGACAAAAAATCCAGAACCGCCCGCACCGGGCACACCAGTGATGCCGGAAGAGTGAAAAAAACACACCCGCGCACCACGTCCCAATTGGTCCGTCTTGGACCAACGGACCAGCACCTCCACCCAGTCACCGGAGCACGCAACCTCGTCCACCAACAACCCCCCAAGAACCGATTTGGACGGACTAACGAGCTCCCCAATACGCCAAAGAAGGCCACCGCAAAGGCAGCCCGAAATAAGCTCACCTCAAAGTCCAAAGAACACACCGTCCGCAGATGCACAAAGACCCAACAACAACTCAAAAAGGACACCGGACGACGGGAATCCTTACAGCGATGAGCCCTTCGGTAACCCCGGAGAGCCTGTCGAACCCAAAAATCTTTTGTGAAATCCCGACACCCTAGCAACTTAAAAAGAAAGCCAAACCCACCAGACGGCGAACCACCGCAGCAGCCGACACCCCCCGCTCAAAATTCCGCGCCACAAATATCGACCCGTTGCAGCAGATCCAGCCATTCCCACCCCGCCAGACCCTAGAGTACGTGGACCAAGTCGCCTCACTCACTCACCGAACGCCGGATCCAGCCTGCAACGACCCCAAGGCAATCTCCCACAGCCAGTCGGGACAAGGAACCCCGCGTTGCTCCGCCGCCGGCGCCAACTCTCGGAATTTGTCCGACTGAAAACGAGACAAAGCGTCAGCCAAGGTGTTATCAACCCCAGGGAGATGCACAGCATGGAGAAAAACATTCAGCTGCAGGCAACGCAACACTAAATGGCGAAGCAAACCCACCACCGGCTGGAGAGGAAGCCGAGACCCGATTGATGACCTGAACCACCCCCAAACTGTCACAGTGAAAACGAACCTTTCGATTCCGAAAATTCTCTCCCCAAACCTCAACCACCAACACCACCGGAAAAAATTCCAACAGCACCAAGTTACGAAGAAGCCCCGCCTCCCGCCAGGTAGCAGGCCACGAGGCCGCACTCCACCGACCCTGGAAAAAAGCCCCATATCCCGCTGAAGCCGCCGCATCTGTGAACAATTCAAAGTCAAAATTGCTAACAGGGCCAGACATCCAGAGAGCCCGCCCATGAAACAAATCCAAAAAGGTGTGCCACAAATGCAAGTCCTCCCGATGATCCCTAATCAACGAATAAAATGTAAAGGGGAGGTAATCCCCGCTGTCGCCGCCACCAACCGGCGGCAGAACACCCGACCCATGGGCAGAATCCGACAAGCGAAGTTAAGTTTTGCCCAACAACGACTGCAAGGCCCGCAGCTGAATTTTTCGCTTGCCCAGCACCCCATGGATTTCCCCTTGTAGGGCCAACAGCTTATCCTCAGGCAAGCGGCACTCCATCGCGCCGGAATCCAAAACGATGCCCAAGAAGGTCATCACCGAAGCCGGCCCTCAGTCTTATCCACCGCCAGAGGAATCCCGAAACGTTCAGCAACGTGTTGCAAAGTGACTAGCAAAACTGCGCATACTCCGGAATCTGGCGGACCCACGCAAAGAAAATCATCCAAATAGTGGATGATCGAATTCACCCCTGAGACATCCCGCACCACCCACTCCATGAACGAACTAAACTTCTCGAACAGAGCGCAAGATATAGAACACCCCATGGGTAGGCACTTATCAACGTAAAAGGCCCTGCCAATGACAAATGCCAAAAAACGAAAACTGTCCGGATGAACCGGCAACAGCCGAAATGCCGACTCAATATCCGATTTCGCCATGAGCGCACCGCGCCCATACCGACGAACCCAGAAAACTGCCGCATCAAAAGACGCATAAGACACCGAACACGACTCCGGATCAAGAGCATCGTTCACCGACCCCCCCTTTGGGAAGGACAGGTGGTGAATTAACCTAAACGCATGTGGCTCCTTCTTGGGCACAACCCCCAAGGGAGAAACAACCAAATCCGAAAATGGAGCACAAGCAAACGGACCCCCCATGCGTCCTAACCCCACTTCCTTACTCAAATTAGCCGAAACCACCTCTGCATTCCGCAAGGCTGACCGTAAATTCCGAGCTAAGGGAGGAATCAAAGTCAAAGTACACGGGATGCGGAAACCCTCCGAAAAACCCCGCCGCCAGCAGCACTGCAGCTGCCCGATCAGGATACCTTTTTAAGAAAGGCCCCATCCTTTCCACCCACACCGGAGTCGTCCCTCTTACCCGCATGCTCTCCGGGAAGGCCTCGTCTCCGCTGGAAACAGCGCGACAACGGATGGGAGCCACCGCACACGGAACATTCGTGCTTAAAACGGCAGGACCCTCCAAATCGACACATCCCCTCCTGGAACTGCCAGCAGAACCCCCTACGCCTGGAAGCCGATTGTCCCGGGAGGAACGAACCACCGGCCCCGCTCTGAAAAAACGAACCAGGGGCCCTTGCCGGCATCATGAGTCGCATCCAAAGGCCAATGTCCTTATGATCCCAACGCAACAACGGGCGAACCGCCCTCCGCTGCCTAAACTGCTCATCGAACCGGAGCCACGCCATACCCCCGTAAACCCTGTGAGCCTCACTAATGGCATCAAGGTAACAGAACAGTGCCGAGCAATGTTCAGGAGCCTTCTCCCCAATAACACTGACCATGATCGCGAATGCCTGCAATCAATTTGCAAAGTACGTGGAATAAAAACGAAAAAACACCGTTTCTCCGCTTCCTCCTGCCTACTCTCGTCAACCCGGGACCCATCGAAAGGAAACGCTTCAAAGGCAAGAGCTTGAATATATCTACGTACTCCCCTCTCCAAATCTTCTCCCGTACATCCGACTGTAAGTGCGCACCCAAAGGGCCCTCAAAACACGTACACTTCGCACTTGGCCGAGTCCGCCAAGCCGTCAGGCCCTGGACACCCTCGAATCCTCACCAAAAAACCGCGGAGGTGGCCGCAGAACCCCGATCACCTGTCTCCGCCGTAACAACCCCTAGCCCAGACCCAGGAGGAGAAGAGACCCCCGGGCGCCGCACGGCCCCCGCTGTCCTGTACTAGAACCCTGAAACCTTCCCCATCATCCGGCGGGAGCCACGCAGAAGCAGGCCCAGGGGCCCCACCACCGCCCCACTCAAGACGCCGCAACAGGTCCCGCAGACTGAAAATCACATCACTGAGACCCCCACCCATACCCGACGGGGGAACGCCAACATTGCACGCCGCAGAGGCCGCGCCCACAGTAACGGCCCGACCACCCCCCAACAGGTTCCATAACGCAGGAGAAAAAGAGACAGACCCCAGAACAGGTAACTTACCAGGCTGCCCAGGAGATGCCCCATCTGCCGTGCGCCCATAATCCAACGTTGCAGAGCGGCCAGCCGTCGCCCCCCCGCAATCGGGTTCCGACAGCTCACCCTCCGACCTCTCTTCCTCCTCACGATGTCCGGATGGCCTCCAAGTCCCAGGAGCCACGGGTCCTGCAGGTCTGTGCCGCTCACGACTCCACCTCCCGGCACCAGCCATGCTCACCGCCGTCCCTGGGCTCCGACCTGCAGCACTCCCAGCTGCACTCTGCCAGCTCCGATCCTCTGCTGATGCCTCTGTAGAGCCAGAGCACCAGACTTTCCAGGGGGCCCGCGGGCCGCAGCAGGAGACAGCCCAGCAGCCGCAGAATTCCCAGCTGCACTCCGCCCAGTGCCGATCCCACGCTGCTGCCTCTGTGGAGCCGGAGCTCCAGACTTCTCAGGGGGCCCCCGCCGGCCGCAGCAGAAGACAGCCCGGCAGCTGCAGCTGTGCGCCTCCCACGCAGGGCTCCCTCCCTGACCGGCACCTCGTCAGTGGAGGAGCCGATGATCCGTCTTCCTCTGTGCCGCGTGGGCGGGGGGGGCTTCCTCCGTGCGAGATCCCGCCCGCCGATGGCAGGGATTCCTCCCGGCATCCCCGCTAGCAGAGGCAAGGGAGCGCCCTGCCAGCGGGGCCGGAGGGTTCCGAGCGGGGCTCCCAAGGTGGCGCTGAGCTCTGGGAGGGGGGGGGGCCTGGGCTAAAGCGCTCCAGAGGCCTAGCCCTCCGAGCACGTGGGCGCTCCCGCCCTCCTGCTGCAGGTGATGAGCCCGGATCCTGTAGCAGATCCGAGACCCGGCTCTGCAGCCAGTCCATCCCTCTGTCCTCCGCTGCCTCCTCCAGCTGTGCCAAGAGGCCCTCCATGTCAGGTCCCTGGAAAGGCAGCCTGTAGCAAGGTATGCTGTCTGGATGAAGCTCTCACTCCTGACTTCCAGCTCAACTGACGCGCCCCCTCCTGAAACTCCCCACCCTAAGGTGCAGGAAACCCCACCTACTTTCAACCTTCCACCAACCAAATACCCCCACTATCAAAACAAACCCCTTGGATCTGCCTTAACCCTCTCTGTTCCTCCTTCCCCACTCTGGGCCTAGTCATGTATGCCCTGCGCCATTTCTTTTTTCTTTTTTGCTACGGGCATTTCTTTCCCGCTAATGAATATGGAAATGCCACCTAATTTTCTCTGTCACTTATGGGGTCATACCTGTGCCTAATGGTAAATCCAGCCCATACAGTATGCATCAGCTGTTGCATGAGACCTCTAGAAAAAGATGTCTAAAAACATTTTTTTTTTTTATAGCTTTCAATACCAAAGCTGTTTGAATCTCTAAACATAGTCTAATAAGAACCATTTCCAGGCAACAAGTGAAGTCAATTTTTGAACTAATAACATGAGCTAGAAAAGATGACGGTTGTCATGTTGACCTTTTGAAAATACTAAATATCATGCAAATTAAATGGCTTTAATACTTTGACTCATTGACCCAGAATAAATGAGTTTTAATATTGTCAATTTTCCGAGGTTGGTAGGCCTAGGCCATTACACACCACTGAAAGTTTACATAGCGTGGTTGAAAATTACTCTGCACTTTTTGCACTGGGTGGCTCAAAGTCCTACCCGCAGACACAGTTACATGCAAGGTATAATGCTGATTATATTAGGATGATACATTTTATATACAGTATTGTTTATTATGCATGTACTATATTTTGAATTCTAGTAAAATATGTTTTATTAGTATTATGAATGAATTAAGGAACATTGATTTGTAGCTCTCTAGCTGTATAAATACTGTATATAAATATATTATTTATATGCTATATAATTGATTGTTTTTTCCTCTTGACCTCTGGAAGGTTTTACCCTCTTCAAGACCAGGGCATTTTTTGCTATTCAAACTGTGTTATTTTAATTGGCAATTGCTTAGTCATCCAACACTGTATCCAAATGAAATTTATATCATTTTTTTTCACACAAATAGAGCTTTCTTTTGGTGGTATTTAATTACCACTAGGTTTTTATTGTTTGCTATATAAATGAAAAAATACTGAAACGTTTGAAAAAACCCCCACTTTTTTTTACATTTCTGGTATAAAATTTTGCAAACAAATAATCTTTCTTTATAAATTAGGCCAAAATGTAGTCTGGTACATTTCTTTGGTAAAAAATAACCCAAATCAGTGTATAATATTTTGTCCGTGTGAAAATTATATAAGAGTATGTATATTGGAAATTTGATGTACTGACTGCCATTTCATTGAGGCCCAAAAATGCCAAGACAGTACATATTCCCCACAAATGACCCCTTTTTGGAAAGTAGACAGTCCAAGATATTTATTAAAAGGCATGGTGAGTTTATTGAAGTTGTAATTTTTTTATCACTTTTTTTGTAAAATTTTTTTTTTACATACTGTCACCAATGCAGTACAGCGTCATCATATAATGGTATAACTGGTGATCAGGGACACTGACTGTAAAATTTTACAGGGACACAGTATGTAAAACAAAACAAACATTTTATTATTATTTTTTTCCAATTTTTAAAATATTTTTCTTCGCTTTTTATTACATTTTTTTTTCTTTTTTTAAATTTTTTTAAAATCCTGTGACCAGAGCAATACAGTGTTACCATAGAGACACTATTACTACTATGGGGAGGTGATTAGGATTTTTTTTTTTGCATACTATGATTGCTTATAACAGTAATAATCATTGTTATAGGCAACCTTTTTTTCGTGTGACATCCATTCATCCAGTGTGTACTATTGTGAATATGTGATTGGCCACAGCTATCACATGGTACAGATGCAGTGTGACTGACCCTATCTGTACCATGTGATCACTGTAACCAATCACAGAGATCAACATGTCAGTACTCAAAGAAGGGATATGAATGGAAGCCATTCATTGTGTACAATTGTTATGTGATCTTCTGTAATTGGTCGCAAAGGTCATATGGTTTCTGAAGTGGCCTAATACACTAATCTGTCATCCGCTGTGTCCAGTGGAGGTCCAGGGAGTGCAAGGTGCGATCCTGGGAGGATGTCATATGGGAGTTCACCTAGGATGGCAGCACTCCTGCATACTTGGTATATTCCTAACTTTTGTACTGCAAAGACTAAAGTTCATCATCTGAGAATTTGTTGAATTAGTATGTTGAGCAAAAACTGTTCTCAACTTTGTTTTTCTTAAGTACATACTCATAGGGATGTAGTTATAAAAAGTTCACCTAGTGAAAAGTGCATGTACTGTATTATAGTGCTCCAAAACCTCTGTTTGAATGTGGAAAAACATGTAAAATGTTATTAGGATATTTCCTGTGCTGGTTAAATGGTTTAATCCATATAAAATTATAAATACTGTATTTGACCACTAGATAGCACTAACTATCATAGGAGATGATCAGACACCTACAAAACTAAGCAGTCACCCTGTCCTTCAGATTTTGTAGGGAAAGGGGAGGGCAAAGGGGGTCTCTGTTGGTTGGGTAGGATTTTCCTACCCAATAACCACTGTAATTCTGAGAAAACAGTAGCACCAAGGGAAGTATAGTGGTAGACATTTTGATTTTTACCCCATGGTTATTGAAACCTTCTATCCAGCCAAAGAAGTTGCCATCGTAGCCTCTGTTGATCTGTAGTTGATATGGTGCTACACATGTGATCAATTATACATCATTTTTGATGGCTTGAAAGTATGGTTGGGAGCACAAGCAACTGTGACAGCATTCATGGCATGCCTTGTATGTAACTGTTTCTGGGAAACAATTAAATTGATAGGTTTGGTTCCTGTTTAAATTAATTTTTTCTAGGCTGCTATTATTGTATCAACGTATCAAACCTAAACAATGCAGGCAGTGAGCACCTGCTTTGGATGGCTTTTTAGGGGCTGCTAAGAGGTGGTTTGCAGGGGTTCAAGAGGTGATGCTGCCCACCTCCAAAGTGCCTGTTTTTTTTGCAATTCAAAGGGTCATTTTACATCAAATTGACAGCAGTCATGTGCCAAGTGTTTGACACATGGTTGGGACGCGGTCCCATTACCTCCAATGAGTGCATTTCACCACCAATGTGGTAAATTTTCCACACTGTGAAGCATCGCGTCTGCAGCAAGGTGTACGGACCGGAATGGCCGCCATGTTAATTTGTATGGGAGATGTAAAACGTTAATCAGCCAACTGTTTTTACAGATCCTTTGCCACAGTATGAATATGTCCTTCATATGGCAGTCAGGTGTTACTGTCCTCTGCATACATCAGTGGCCAAGGGCAGTGTTTAAATATGGAAATGAGGACTTAGTTGTTGACTTTGGCAAAAAAAAAGTCAACATCTGCATATCAATAATAGGAAGAATAGCATTTAAAACAGCCCATTAAGCAGATTACGAAGACAGGGGCCTAGCACAAATCTAATTCACTGAATGCAGGACCCTTCCTAATTGATATAAGACACAAATTACATACAGCACAGCTATCTCGTCTAGGACCAAGGGTGCAGGAATTGATGTGCTTACAGAGGATATTAGTCACAGTATAGAATTGCTTAGCAACGGAGAGCTGCAACCTAACTCCCACTGCGAGAAAGTCTGATTTTAATGCAGACCACGCCATATGCGCTGACTCTGCTAAGGAATTCCCAGGATTGTGTGCTTTGTGTTTGACAGAGAGGTTTTAAAGGAATAAGGATGAAAAATACATGTGCTGTCATGGCTACTCACCTGGATTGTGAGGTAATCTGCCAAGATCTGAATAGGATGATATTTATCAGACAGCCCATTCACAATTGGAATTGATGCTTCTTCAGCCAAAACCTCCAAGTCAGCTTGGTGATAAACTCGAGCTAGTACAGCATCAGTCATGCCAGAGAGCACCCTGACAGAAAGATAAGACAATAAATGTACTGCTAAATTGAGTTATAATGCTTCTTATGCTAACGTGAAGCGATAATATCCTGCACTTTCCATTTTGCTATTTGCCATTGACAAGGGTGTAGATCATTTGTTTCCTGGAATGGGTTCAACCAGAGGTGTATTTTGGTTCTGTGCTGCCCTAGACAAGACTAAAATTGGCCCCCTCCCTGTGTCTAAATGTGTCCTACCCCTTCTTAAGATCAACCCCTTCAGGACAGGACAGAAAGGTGGCAGCGTGACGGGAGGGCCACCAGCATGACAGGAGGGGGGCAGCTGGACAGGAGATGGGCAGCATGACGGGGGGCATGGCACAGGAGGGGGGCAGTGGGACAGCTGGGAGTCAGTGGGACAGGAGGGGGGCAGTAGAACAGGTGGGTGGCAGCGGGAAAGGAAGAGAGAAGCCTGATGGGGGCAGCGTGAGGGGGCAGCGGGATGAGTGGGGGGCAGTGTGACAGGGACAGTGTGACAGAAGTGGGGAAGCACCAGTCCTCCAAGCTCTTACCTGTCCAGCAGTGGCTCCTCCAGATGATGTCAAGATCTGGTGCCAGGAGCTCTAGCTGAGCCTGTGTCCCATCTCCACCAGGATCTCCGGCACCAACTGCAACAAAGAGCAGGGAGGCTCCTCCACCCCGACCTTGTCCTCTTCTATTTCCTCCTTTACAGGCCCTCTGCTGGCACCTTCTGGCCTCACCTACCCCGAACAGCTCACACAGCCCAGTGCACACTGCAGATCCTGATCAGAAGCTGCCTGACAGCAGGACCCGGCCATCGACTGCTCCCTGTGCACACTGGGAATCCGCCCACCACTCCATCCTCTTCTGAAGCTGGTCCCTCTACTTGTGTGTCGGCTGTCCCCTTCCCACCCACGGTGTTCCTTTTGCCTTGGGGTGGTGCTGCACCCTTGTAAAATACCACCCAAGGTAAAAGAGTTGTTTGCCTCATGGCAGATTTGCCCCTGGGTTCAACTCCCTAAGAATATAAGGTTTGGAGGCACTCTTGGGCACCCACAGCAGAAGTATTAGGCAGTGTGCACAGCTTGCCTTGGTAAATTGTAACAAACAACAGTGCAGCGCTTCAAAAATTAATAAATGGATGAAGACAAAATATATATATACATATGTAAAGTCTATGCAATATCCGCGGTATTGTCTGATGAAATATACTTCCGAAGTATGTACTGCCTCGAAATAACAGCAATGCGCACTCACCAGAAACGCATGGAATATGCGCATATAGGAGTAATCATCCCGGGTGTCCGATCCGACGAAGACCGAGTGGTGGGCGTCCTATTCACGGTGGGTCATCAGAAACAACACGACAGATCCAGAGGTCCCCTTAAGGTTAGTCACACTGATAGTGTTGATCCCTCTTCTGGCTGGTAAGGGTACCCTCTCTGTGGGTAGCAGCTCCAAGTAGTAGCTCCAAGAAGGAGCCCCAAAAAACAAGTGCCAGAGATAGTGTAGTATCCTTTAGGAGGAGCTGTGCAGAGCGTGACGTCATTTCCTACCGCCGGAGCCACGAGGAGGCCCGGCGGCCATCTTTACTGGGGTCAGTAATGCTGTTCTTTTACACTTTACACGCAATGAATGCTGTGATGTGCATACTGCCCTATTGCTATGTCTGACTAATAAAATCACCTTAAGAACATACTACACTATCTCTGGCACTTGTTTTTTGGGGCTCCTTCTTGGAGCTGCTACTCCCACAGAGAGGGTACCCTTACCAGCCAGAAGAGGGATCAACACTATCAGTGTGACTAACCTTAAGGGGACCTCTGGATCTGTCGTGTTGTTTCTGATGACCCACCGTGAATAGGACGCCCACCACTCGGTCTTCGTCGGATCGGACAACCCAGGATGATTACTCCTATATGCGCATATTCCATGCGTTTCTGGTGAGTGCGCATTGCTGTTATTTCGAGGCAGTACATACTTCGGAAGTATATTCATCAGACAATACCGCGGATATTGCATAGACTTTACATATGTATATATATATTTTGTCTTCATCCATTTATTAATTTTTGAAGCGCTGCACTGTTGTTTGTTACAATTGATATACGTATATTTTAAAGGTATTGTGGTTACCTGAAGTGTTCTAGCTGCTGTATACATTTGAGAGCGCTCACTACATATCACTTTTTATCTGCCTTGGTAAATTGTGTGGCAAAATTATGTTAACAATGAAAGGTGCTTAAAACTTGAGTCTAGGTACAAGGATCAGCGGTCAGAAGTATGTAATGTACAGAGTGCAACTGTCAGGAGTATGTAACATACAGAATGCAGGGACCAGGAGTGGATAACACACATAGAACAGGGGCCAGGGTATGTACATATTTCGGAGAGCAAGAGTACAAATTGTAAGCAGTACAAGGGTCAGGTCTGTGTAATGTACATAGTCAAGTGAACAATATATATAGTGCAGAGATAAGGTTTACGTAATGTACCGGGGTCTGGAGTAGGTAATGTACCGAGTGTAGGGGTCAGGAGTGGGTAATGCTTGTACTGACTAAAGGGGTCAGGTACATGTAACATACACAGTGCAGGGGTCACTAGTATATATTGTTCATTTTACCACCACACCCCCTTATGCATAGTACAACAGTACCACCTCTGGACACACACTGTATACATATATGCACTGTAAGCACAAACACACTATATACACATAAATACACAGTATATACATATACACACTGGGGGGGGGGTTCTAAAACTGGTGCACAAAGAATATAATGTAGCTGTGCAAAGGGCTGTCTTAATGAGTAGCCAACCAGGGCACTGCCCAGGGGTCCCAGGTTCATGGAGGGACCCTGCAGCCCCCCCCCCCCATCCAGGACTCCTCTGGCACTTCGCAGGGGTTAAGGAAGAACCCCCAGGGTAGAGCATTTGCTGCTTGTGTGGGAAGGATGTGTACAGCTCCAATCACATAGGATGACTAGGAGAGAGAAATAGTGGGGATCGGATCAATACACATCCCTCTCACACAAGCAGCACCAGTGGCAAGATCATGGGCAGATCTAGGGGGCTGCTGGCATGGGTTTGGCCCTCCCAGAGTTCAATTGCACCCCCAAAAAGTCCCTCACCACTCCTGAAGCATGTGCCAGCAGTCTCTCATCCCTGCATGATACACAGCATCAGCTTGAGCACAGCACTCCTACCCTTCATACTGTATCCTGCCCCCCTGTACTGTGCCCTCCTGTCCCCCTGTACTGTGCTCTCCTGCACCTCTGTACTGTTCTCTCCTGACGACCCTGTAGTGTGCACTCCTACCCCCCCCTCCCCATACTGTGCCCTCTGTCCCCCATATGTTTCCCTCCAGCCCGCCCTGTACTGTGCCCTCCTTCCCCCCTGAATTGTGCCCTTTTGCCCCTCATACTATGCCCTCCTGCCTGCCCTGTACTGTACCCTTGTGCACCCTATACTGTGCCTTCCTGATCCCCATACTGTGCTCTCCTGCCAACCTTGTACTGTACCCTCCTGCCCACCATACTGTGTCTTCCTGCCTGCTCTGTACTGTACCCTCCTGCCCCCCAGCACTGTACCCTCCTACCCCCCCCATATCATTTGGTATTGATCGCTCCCGTATTCATTCATTACTGAAGCTAGGTAAACTATGTTTACTATGCTTCAGTTTGTGAATGGCCAGGATTACTTTTTGAGCACTTCTCATTCATTCCACTGTTCAGTGAGCTGCAGAGAAAGGAACTGATGAATCTATGACCTCATTCCCTTTCTCAGTCCCAAATATAAGACATCAGGCCTCTAGGTTTAGACCCCTGATATTTCACCAAAGCCCCCCCCCCCCCCCCCGAACAGGGCAGTTAAAAAATAAAAGAAGTCACAAAAATTCTATAAACAAAATTATTAAGGATTCATTCACATGTGCTTTGTTCTCTGAAGAACAATCAGAATGTGGATCGCTCTTAAAGAGAGCATTTGCTTTAATCCTGCCTTCTTTGCCCATGGTTGCAGGACACTTGCAGAGCAGCACTATTAACTTAAATATTTCTTTTTTGACAGGGGGTATAATTTTACTATGGCTGCAAAGCATAGTATTGTGGTTGTGGCATGTGTATACCTCTAGCCACTACCTCTGTTGCTAAAGGGGGTAGCAGTTGGTAAGCAGTAAAAGCACAGCTGACCCATGGGGTTTTTACGGCCCCCACCTCACATGTAAATGGGCCCTAAGGTGCTTTGGCTGTGTTAATGAGTGGATTGTTTTTTACAGCAGGAGCTTATTCTAAGCGGATACAGCATCTGTGAAAACACAGCCACAGGTCCTAATTTGACATGTGTAGAGGCATGGGTGAGTGGCCCTAAATGCACACTGTCTTTGTTTTGGGCCATACACCTGCATTCACATGCCTGTCATGGTAGGACCTGCAGCTATGTTTGTACAGCTGCTGTGTCCCTGTAGCGTAACATAGGGAATGAGTCCCAACACCTCACACCTATTCACACACAGAGCTTTAGCAGGAATTTTTGTTGTGTTTGTGTCTACTAATAATCATTTTAGTATATTTTTAGTGAAAATATAATTTGATATTTTCAGGATGTGGGGGGCTGTCAGGTAGGCTGTACAGGGCCCCGTGATTTCTAGCAGCAGTCCTCCCTACCTTCCCAGAGAGGACTGACAAAGTCCATAAAGGGACAATTTCCCTTCACAGACTCCTCTTCCCCTGTAGTTTTGCAAAATGCCATTTACAGGTGAGCAGAACACCTGTGCCTGCCTACAAGCCCTCAAATTGGGAAGATGTGCGTTAGTAGCCTCTGCTGCATATCCACGTGCTGATAGGGATTGTACTGACAGGAAGAAAGTACAGACTGAGCAGTGCTGATGACTTATTAGTGTGATGCTGCTCATCATCAGGCTAAGTGCAGAAAGGCAATGGCACTTTATTTTTTTATCGTTAACAGAGATAAAGATAAAATAGGAAAATAATAACT